AAAATAAAATAAAATGATGATGATGATGATAAAATGCAGTGGTAGTGTAAGTTATATCTAAGTTGCTAGGCTCGGTGGCTCAGCCTGTAATCCCAGCACTTTGGGAGGTAGAGGTGAGTGGATTGCCTGAGCTTGCGGGTTCAAAACCAGCCTGGGCAACTTGGCAAGACCTCATCTGTACAATAAAATCAAAAAGTTAGCCATGCGTGGTAGCGCACACTTGTAGTTCTGGCTGTTTGGAAGGCTTAGGCGGAGGGATCGCAGGAGCCTAGCAAGTCGACGCTGGGGTGGCCGTGAGCATACCACTGTATTCTTACCTAGGCAACAGAGGGAGGCTCGACTCAAAAAAAAAATTATTTCTAAGTGAAATTGATGTTTAAAAATGCAAGGGCATCTTGAAAACATGCAAAGTGAAGTCAGACATAAAAGGCTACATAGTGTATGATTCTGTTTATAGGATATATCCAGAAAAGGGAAATCGATAGAGACAGAACACATCATTGGTTTCCAGAGGCTGGGAAGAGGAGGGAATGGGGAGAGACTGCTAATAGGTATGGGATTTCTTTTGGGGTGATAAAAATGCTCTGGGACTAGATAGAGATGGTGGTTGTACAACATTATAAGTGTATTAAATGTCAATGAATTGCTCACTTTAAAGTGGTTATTTGGGTTTCACCTCAATAAAAAATGCAGGGGCAGGGATTGTGTGTGTGTGCGTGTGCGTGCGTGTGTGTCTGGCAAATAGTAGGTGCCTGGCAAATAGTAGGTGTTCAATAAATACTTGCTAACTAAACAGATGGTGCTTAAAAATACACACATACATTTATTTGTATACATGTTGCTTTCTGTGATTTTCTCTGATTATTTTGAATGACTATATATTCAACATAGTGTTTGGGTCTAAACTGCTTTCCTGATTTCTTTTTTTTTTGTAGATAGAAGATGGTGAGATTTTTGCAAGTATTAACCAGAAGGATGGTATGGTCAGTTTCCATGATAACCCTGAAAAATATAATAACCCAGCCATGCTTCATAACATTGATCAGGAGGTAAACATGAATGCCAAGTTTTGATTTTTTTAAATTGATGGTTGAGATATTATATTTGGAGTACTGTTCCTCTACTCCAGGGTAGCTTTAGTTTTTAAGTATAGGTAGTTCCCAATCTAAGAACATCTTAGTTCCTAGAAAGTTAATTTCAAAATAGCCTGCTTAGAACTCTTCCAGGTTGTATGGCTGTAAATAAATATGGTGGCCTAGATAGCCCAGCTAGCTCACCAAAACCTACCTTAAGTCTGAAACACTAGCAGGATCTAGTATAATTTTATCTATACTGAACTGCCACTTAAAACGCAGAACCTTTTTTTGGTGATGAATTGTCTGCAGAGCTCTAGGTTGGGAAGTCAGGGGACATCTCTTCCTATGTCAGAAGCAGGGTCTGGTGGCTGGAGAAGGACGGGAACAAAGCCTGCCTGAAAGTGTTTGTCAGGTAGCAGCACAGCCGCAGCAGCCACCTTTGCCTCTCCTGAGGGCGTGCTTTTCTAAGTGCTGCCCTGGGATCTGGGCGTGAGGGGGATTGTGTGGACAGTCTGTTTCTCACCTCTGAGCAGGGAAGTGATTGAACTGAATGCTAAATCTCAGAAACCTAAAGGCAACACATAGTAACACAGGATAGTGCCATAATCCTTTTTTGCAGTTCCAAACCTGAAAACTCTTAAGTTTTCTTGGTAACTTGTTTGATGACTGTCATCCAAAATGATATGCTTCATGGTCTTCATTTATCTTACTTAGTGCGAAGATATTTCAGTTTTACTGATGAATTAATGTATTTGCTCATGAGGTGCTGCCTAGATCCTGCTGGGATGCTAGGTACCAGACAGTACTTGTACTATATTAAGTCTCTGAGTGCAAAATATTCTGGCTTCAAAACCCATGTAGCCCCAGGGGTTTCAGATCAAAGGATTGTGAACCTATAACACTCATGTAACACAGTCTAGGCTACAAAGGATGCAGCTGACCTAAACCCATTGCTAACCACATTTCAACATGCCTGTCATGCAGATGCTGAAGTGCATAGAGCTGGATGAACGTCTGAAGGCCATGGACCAGGAGATCACAGTGAACCCCCAGTTCGTGCAAAAGGTGACTAGGGCTCCCCTCATTACAAGAAGCCAGCTGGGTGGAGAAGGAGGGATATTGTCACATCAGGCACAGGAACTTGGTTTCAGGTTATTAAGTATTTCTTGAAAACCTTTATCAGTAAACTCACAGAGCAGTACTAATTGAGAACATTTTCAAACAACAACCTGGAAGTACAGTTAGAAATGCTTAGAGTGGTTCCTGGAATTGCCTGCTCCTGTTATTCACAGGGTGCTTTCCTCTGGGAGGGACAGGATGACGGTGTGCAGCCTCTGGGGCTGCGGTAAACCCTTGACAAAGGCAAACATCAATCCACTGCCTCACTCTCCCCTTACAGAGTATGGGCTCACAAGAAGATGATTCAGGAAACAAACCATCCAGTTACTCTTGAAACTAATTTCCATCCTGAGTTAAACAAAAAAACTACCACCTTGGTCAGTGTCAAATGTTAGGAGGACAGCAGAGAGGACCAAGACTGTGTCACCTGGACATTAAGAAATTAAATTTTGTTTTGACATCTTCAGTCCTATGTGCTTTCAGAAAACCAGTCTCTCTGCACAGAAAGGAAACAAATTTGCAAACTTTAAAGTCTGTTATGGATTTATTTATCCTCAGATTATTGTTGTTATTGCATTAAATCTACATTTTTGTTTTAAATTGCTTGAACATTAATGTGTCTTATTAATGTGTCTTTTGTATCACTTTTCCCCTCTGAAAGGTTTTAAACACACATTCGATATAAACAGAAATAATTGGGTTTTAGGAAATTTTGGAAGATTTGATTCTAAAAGATTTTTTTTTATTTGTTGACACATCAGTATCTGAAGAATTTAAAAGTTGCTATCAGTGTCCTCAAAAAAAAAAAGGCTATAAGAAAGTTCATAAGGTATAAGCTACTTTTTAAAATTAAAATTAATGTGCATTTTGGTGATTGTATGAATTGTGGATTATGAGGTGCTGTTGGCTCTTCAGCACTTTCTAACCTTTGGTGTGTGTTTCACTCTCTTGTGGTCTTTAGAATGGCTTTTTTGGGGGCCAGGTGCAGTAACTCATGCCTGTAATCCCAGTACTTCGGAAGCAAAGGCAGGAGACTCACTTGAGACCAGGAGTTCAATACCAGCCTGGGCAACAGGGTGAGACCCCTG